TGCCGCGCCGCCGCCTCCCCCGCCCCTCCGCAGCCGGGAGACGCGCGCCGTCGCCAGCATCGCCGTGCGGCAGTGCTTGATCTCAGCCTCGCGCAGCCACGCCTGCACAGTCACGCGCGCAACGTTTGAGAGCGAAGCCTCCGCCGGAGGGCCGCAAAAGGGCGGCGTCGGCGCACCAGGGGCAGAATCTCGGTGAAACCGAGCGGGTCGAAGCCGACGTCGCCGACGAGGGCGCCCACCGGCCCAAGCGACTCGCGCCGCACCAGGAAGGGCAGCGCCTCGCTGTACACGACCGGCGGCGGCGGCGGCGGGCCCGGGTCGACCTCCTCCGCCTCCTCCGCCTCCTCGGTGGCGGGCGCGGCGGCGGCCTCCTCCATGCGCGCGAAGCGCAGCGCGTCGGAGTGCGGCGCGAGCGCCAGCTTCGGCTTGGCGAAGAGCGGCGCCACGGCCGGAGCCACAAGGGCGGGCGAAGACGTCAGCGCAGCGACCAGCATTTGGCAAGATCCCGCTGAGCCTTCGCAATTGTGGGCAGAGAAAAGAATTCAACAACGCAAAGATTTAAACAATATTCCAAAATCCTGCTCGTGCAGGTGGGGACCCTGTCCTCGTCCCATCCCTCGTTTGGCGTGTCTGTTTTCTTTCTTTCTTTCTTATACCTACGAGAAAGAATTTAAACAACGCAAGAATTTACTTACTCTCGTGAGCTGTGAACAGACGCACTTGCCTTCGGGGGCAAGTACCCAAATCCGCTAGGTTGGGCGTGCTTTCACAGCCTCACGAGAGTAGAATTCACTCCGCTGGCTCGTCCTGAAGCGGGGACTGGCGCGCGCTGCGCCACGGCGGCAGGCGTCCGTGAGTGAGTGAGCGAGCCGTTGAGGCAAAAAAAGCACGGTGTTCGCGGCGGGGCGCCACCGAGCGGATATGTGTGGGGATGCGTCCTCTGCCAGCGGCGCGGCGGACGGCGAGGCCTCGACCTCCTCATCCTCCTTCCACGCGGCCTCCTCCACCACCGCCGCGGCCGGCACTGCCGGCGACGCCTTTCAGGACGCGCTGCTCGCGCGCTTCCACGAATGCCTCGCGCTGGAGCGGCAGGCGGAGCGCGCCGAGGTGGACGCGCTGCACGAGTCGCTCCCGGCCAAGGAGCTCGAGCGGCGCGGCCTCGCGCTGCACCGGCTGCGCATCCTCTCGACCGAGACGGCGCTCTTCGGCCGCGCGCAGCTCACGCTGCAGCTCTCCGGCGCGCGGCCGCTGCCGCCGACGAGGCTCTCGCCCGGCGCGATGGCGACGCTCCGTCCGGCGGCGGCGGCGGCGGCTGCCGGCTCGACGTGCACCATCACCGCACTGCGCGCGAGCACGCTCACCGTCACGTTTGAGGAGCTGCCCGGCGAGGAGGAGCTCGCCGAGCCGCTCACGCTCTCGCTCCTCCACAACGACGTCACCTACCGCCGGCTCGACGCGGCGCTCTCCGCGCTGCGGGCGGGCAGGCTGCCGCCCGCCTCCGCGCCGCTCTGCCGCGCGCTCCTCGACGGCGACGACGGCGCCGCGCTGAGCTGCGGCCCCGCCCTCGGTGCGACCGAGCCGCTGCCGGCGGATCAGCTCGTCAACCGGGGCCTGAACGCGGGCCAGCGCCTCGCCGTCCAGTTCGCCCTGGAGCGGAGCCGGCCGGCGGGCCCTCGCGCGCCGGCGGGCAGCCCTCTCCAGAGCCACTGGCCCGTGACGCGTCCGGGACTGTCTCGTGCAGGTGGCCCTCATCCACGGGCCTCCCGGCACCGGCAAGACGACGGCGGTGGTGGAGCTGATCCGGCAGGCGGTGGCGCGCGGCGAGCGGGTCTCCGCCTCGGCCCGCCTCCTCCCGTTTCTCGCCCCTCGCTGACCCCTCTCGGAGCCCTTCCTGGCAGGTGCTCGCCTCGGCCGCCTCGAACGTCGCCGTCGACAACATGGCCGAGCGGCTGCTGAGCGGAGAGGCAGGTGGCAAGCCGCTCCGGGTCGTGCGCGTCGGCCACCCGGCGCGGCTGCCGCCCTCGGCGCCCTCCGTGAAGACCGGCCCTTCACGGCTGCGCCTGTGAAAAGGCGAGGCTGCTGCCTTCGGTGCTCGGCGCGTCGCTCGACGCCCGCCTCGCCGTCTCGGACGGCGCCGCCATCGTCCGCGACGTCAAGGGCGAGCTGTCTGCGGCGCGCACCCAGCTGCGGCGCGAAGGCAGGCGCGCTCGCGCCGCTCTCAAGGCGGAGGTGTCGACGCTCCGCCGCGAGCTGGCCGAGCGGCAGAGGCGATCCGTGAGGCAGCTGCTCGAGGCGAGCCAGGTGGTGCTGTGCACAAACACGGGCGCCGCCGGCCGACGTCGCTCGGCTGCCTGCGGAGGAGCGAGTCTCGAGCCGTTCGTGGTGCATCAGGCGCCGCCGACCGCGCGCTCTCCTGCCTGCCGCCCGAGCACGCCTTCGACCTCGTCGTCATCGACGAGGCGGCGCACCCGCTCTGAGGCGCCGCTGCCGGGCCGTGTCCGTGACGTGTCGTGGACGTGTCCCACAGGCGGCGCAGGCGCTCGAGGCGTCCTGCTGGGTGGCGCTGCTGCGCGGCCGGCGCGCGGTCCTCGCCGGCGATTTGCACAGCCGCCCTCCCGTCGCCGTCAGACTTCCACGACACGTGAGCTGTCCCGGGCATGTCCCGCAGGCGACCACCAGCAGCTTCCGCCCGTCGTCAAGTCGGAGGAGGCGGGCAGGAGGGGCTTCGGCGTCACGCTCTTCGAGCGGCTCCTCCGCGGCCCGCACGGAGCGGGGCTCGGCGTGATGCTCACCACGCAGTACCGGATGCACGCGGCCGTGTGCGCGTGGGCGTCGGACGAGCTGTATGGCGGGCGGATCGTTGACGCACGGCTCGCGCGAGATGACGCGAGATGACGCCGAGGTTTCCGAGATGGTAGGCGGGCGGCTGGTCGCGGACGGCTCGGTCGCAGAGCACCGTCTGTGTGACCTCTCGCACGTCGACCCGACGGACGAGACGGAGGCGCCGCTCGTGCTCTTCGCTGATCGATGCCGTTCTGAGTGACGCAATTGCCATTGGCTACCAATTGCTACTGGCTAGGCGCCGCTCATGCTCATCGATACCGCGGGCTGTGATTGCGAGGAGGACGAGGGCGAGGGAGGCGGCGGCGCGAACGGCGGAGGCACCAAGCGCCCCAGCGCCTCACCGCTCGTGGCGGAGTCGAAGAGCAACACGGCCGAGGCCCGCGTGGTCGGCCAGCACGTCCGCGCGCTGCTTGCTGCCGGGCTGCGGCACGGCGAGATCGGCGTCATCACGCCGTACAACGCGCAGGTGCGAGGCGCGGGGCGAGGGGCCCTCGAGGGGCGCGTCGCACGACCTCCCCGGAGCCGTTTCTTCTAGGTCGAGGCGCTTCGCGAGGAGCTCGCGGCGGAGCGCGCCGTGCCGTCGGCCACGGGCGAGGGGTCCGCGCTCGAGGTGGGGACGGTGGACGGCTTCCAGGGGCGCGAGAAGGAGGCGATCGTCATCTCGCTGGTGCGCTCGAACGCGCAGCGCGTCGTCGGCTTCCTCTCGGAGAACCGCCGGATGAACGTGGCAATCACGCGCGGCCGGCGCCACGTCTGCCTTGTGGGAGACTCGGACACGGTCTCCGCCACGCCCTTCCTCGCGCGAATGCTGCGCTACTTCGAGGAGCACGCCGACGTGCGCTCGGCAGCCCAGTACGGCGCGGACGCCGCCTCGGGCGGCCGACACGCGCCCTCCGCCAAGCTGGCCGGCGCCCGCCCTCCGGCCAAGGAGCTGCTGACCGAGTCGCAGGCGGAGGCGAAGCTGCGCGCGCGCCTGCAGAGCTTCCTGGCGGACGCGTCGCAGCGCTCGCACGCGCTCCCGGCCTCGCTCAATTCGTTCGAGCGCATGGTGGCGCACCGGCTTGCCGCGGAGCTCGGCCTCGAGCACGTCTCGACCGGGGAGGGCAAGCAGCGCTTCGTCACGCTCTACAAGGAGGGCGCGGCGCCGCCGACGGGCGCGGCGGGGGCGGCGGAGGAGCCGCGACAGGGTGCGGCGGCAGTGCGGGGGGGAGAGGCGGAGGTCGAGGCGCTCGCAGCGGCAGCGGACGGCGAGGCGCGCGGCGCGCCGTCCGAGCCATCCGCCGCCGCGCCGGCCGCCGCCGCTGCCCCCGCCGCCCCCCCTCCGCCGCTCTCGACGGCGCCGATGGACGAGGTGCAGCAGCAGCTGGCCTCGCGGGTCCGGGAGCTCTTCACGCAGCTGGCCGCGGCGGGCATGCCGCCAAACGAGGCCGCGGCGCAGGCGATGGTCGCCGCGCAGTCGGAGGCGGCCAAGGCGGAGGCGGCCAAGGCGGAGGCGGCCAAGGCGGAGGCGGCCAAGGCGGAGGCGGCCAAGGCGGAGGCGGCCAAGGCGGAGGCGGCCAAGGCGGAGGCGGCCAAGGCGGAGGCGGCCAAGGCGGAGGCGGCCAAGGCGGAGGCGGCCAAGGCGGAGGCGGCCAAGGCGGAGGCGGCCAAGGCGGAGGCGGCCAAGGAGGAGGCTGCGGGCAGGCCGGCGGGGGGCAGGCCGGCGAGGCCGACCAAGGCGCCGCAGGCAGCGGACGCGAGGGCGGCGGCAGCGCGGGCCGCGACGGCCCGAGCGGCGATTTCGCGAGCGGCGCAGTCGGACGGCGATGGGGCGGCAGCAGCCGCGGCGGCCGCAGCAGCCGCGGCGAGGGCGGCCGCACAGGCGGAGAGCAACGACGCGCTGCGCGAGGCGGCATTGGCGAGGGAGGCGCGGCAGTGCGAGGCGGAGGCGGAGAGGCAGGCGGCCGACGAGGCGGTGCGGCGGGCGATGCGCGAGGAGGAGGAGCAGCGGCGCAAGCAGCTCGCGCGTGCGAAGAAGGAGCGCCGCAAGCAGAGGAAGGGCGCAGAGGACGCTGGAGGCGGCGGCGACGACGATGACGATGTGGACGCGGCGCTCGCCGCCCTTGGGCTGGCGCCGAATGGCGCGAGCGCAGCCGAGCCTATGGCCAATCCGACGGCGCCATCCGCGCTGCCGTGGGGCCGCGACCGCGAGACCGAGCGCGAGCGAGAGCGCCTCCAGGCAAGGCTGCGCCAGAAGCTCGCGACTGGCGACGGGTCGCACCAGAAGCGGCAGCAGAAGAAGAAGTGAACGTGTTTATCTTTTTATGAGACAAACAAGCGTCGCTCGAAGTCGAACCGCGCGCAACACAGAACCAAGCAAGCAAATGTGCGGAACAATAAATATCACAAAAAGGTACACGGCTCACACGGAGAGTGTGTCTTTTGCATTCCTCTGTTTCCCCTCACACGCCCGTCGCGCGGCCGCCCTCTGCCAATGCCTTCGGCGCGCCGGCTGCGCCGCTCCCGAACGCGCCGCCTCCGTACCTGGCCGCATAGGCGCTGGAGGTGGGGTCCACGTGCGACGCCTCTGGCTGGTCCATCAGCTGAATCCCCTGCCCTGCCCTGCCCCGGCGGCAGCAGCACCTCCTGCACGCGAGCAGGAATGCCGCGAGGATCGCCGAGCAGGCGGCGGCAATCGGGACCCACGGGACGCCGCCCCGCCGCTGCTCGATGCGGTCGTCCTCGCCGCCGGCGCTCATGGCGTGAAGCATGAGGTGGTGCAAGACGTGCTGCTCGAATGTGCCGCCGACGAGGTGCGCCTGCGCACCCCAAGCGTACGTGATGACGTCCTCGCCAGAGTGCCGCTCCGAAGAAGCCTTGAAGACGGCGGGCGACAGGAAGTCGGGCCCCTGCGCCGCGATCGAGGCAGCGCTGCGCGGCTCTTCCTCTCGCAGCCGCCGGCCCGTGGCGAAGGTGGCGACCGTGATGTTATACCCGTCCGCGTCCACCTCGGGCACGGGCGCGGGTTTGGGAGGGCCCTCCGCCGCGGCGATGCCGCTCGCGTCGATGCGGTAGCAGAGCCCGTCGATCGGGGAGCCGCGCGCGCAGTACCCCGTGAACATGAGTCCGTGGGAGTGGTCGGCCGTGGCGATGATGAGGCTGTCGTCGAGGCTCAGCGAGTCGAGCGCGACCTGCACCGCCTTCTCGAAGGCCGCGGTCTCGATCGCTGCTCTCTGCAGCTGGTTTGCGTGGAGCGCGTGGTCGATGCGGCCGCCCTCCACCTGCAGGAAGAAGCGATCGTGCACCGACAGCCGGCGGATAGCCTCGGCCGTCATCTCGGCGAGCGATGGCGCGACGCTCGCATTCCGGTCCGCCTAGGTAAGGTACGGTCGGTAAACTTCTCCACACACACGAGGTGGTGGGGCAAGGGGGGGCGACCCTCGCCTCGTACACCATGTGGCTCCCGCCATTCTCCTCGGAGAAGCCGGCCAGAACGCGCCCCTCCCTCCGCACGGCCGCACCGCGCAGCGCGTCGAACCCCGCGCGCGAGTCCGCTATCTCGACGCCCGCCGAGCGGAGCCGCGCCGTCAGGTCCTCCCCGTCCGTCCGGCTCCCGGACTTTCCGGAGCACGCCGTCGCCGTGTACGCGACGCCCGCCCACGGGTCCTCCCGCAGCGCGGCGCGGTCGTAGAGGTGGCCGCCCGCGTCCGCGCCGCAGCTCTCGCCCTCGTGGACGTGGACGCCGCACGAGTTTGAGCGGTTGGGGCCGGCCCCGCCGGAGCAGAGCGGGTCGACGCCGCGGAGCGCGAACGAGAGGACCCTCTCGCCGCTCGGGCGGGCGGTGATCTCCAACGAGCCGCTCACGCGCAGGCTGCCGACATAGTCCGAGTAGGTGAAGTACCGCACGAAGCCGTCGGCGCGCAGCGCCGCGGGGGAGGGGGGAGATGCCTCGCGGAGGACGGCGCACGCCACTCGCGCGCCCTCAAAGTCGTGGACAATCACCACGCGGCCGGCCGGAGTCTCCGCGCCCGTGCTGACGGAGATCCCGGCCGCGTAGGCCCGCGCCTGGCACGCGGGCAGGAAGGAGCGCATCCCCCCGCCCATCGCCACGTCTATCTGGCCGCCCAGCATCGCGTCCGCGAGCTGCTGTCCTATGTCCTTTTGCGGGCAGTCGGCGATCGGCACGGACGCCTCCCAGTTGCGATCCGCCGACACGGCGTAGGCGGCCGCGGGCGTGGCGTGCGTCACCCGAGCCGTCGACACGATGCCGTTGCGGTAGCCCAGCTCGGACGTGATGAAGACGAGCGGCCTGTGGGGAAGAGGCGAGCTGGGTAGCTGCGTAAGACTCTCCTGCTTGTGTAGACCTAATCTAAAGTGCATGGCCGGGACGCAGGGAGAGGATATGGAGGAGTGTGCCGCATCGCGTGGTCGGCCGGAGAGCGCGACGCGTTGCACTCGCCGCGGCCGAGGGAGGGCTTGGTGTTGATCACGCCGTTGATGGTCTTCGCGCCGCTCATGAAGGCAGTCGCCGAGGCGGCGCTGTCCGCCGTCTGTGCGTTGAGCGTATACGTCTTGGTCACGCCGACGTGGGGCGCGCGATCGAGAACAGACACGTGCTCCTCGCCGAGACTTCCCTCCTGCTGCCCCTCCCAGATGCGCGTCGCGTACTGCGTGCCCAGGCCCATTCCGTCGCCGATGAAGAGCACGACCCGCTTCGCCTGCTTGCTTCGACGCGTCTCTGCGATGCGAGACGCGAGCTGCGCCCTCGCCTGCTCGGCGGAACCCGCAGCGGGCGCCGCCGCCGAGCCGAGGGCGACGAGGGAAGCGAGGACGAGAGCGGAGAAGCCCTGGGCTGGAAGGCCCGAGAAGGCGTACGCGCACGCAACAACAAACGGCATGTCGCAGGCGATGAGCGGCACAAACAGTCACCTGCTCGTTTGGAGCCTTGATGTGACGACCGATGGCGCGCGGCAAAAAAATAACTGTTGAGGTCCGGCGGAATTTTCTTTTATTTTTCTCTTTTCTTTTTTTGAGCTTAGCCTTCGATGTTATGAAACAACGCAAGGCGGACATGGCATATCGCTCTCGGGCCCACAGACATCCCGCACACTCGCCGCACACCCGCCGCCCCCGCGCGCGCCCCGCCCCGGCCGGGAGAAAGGGGAGTGACAGTTTGGGACGGCAACAGAACGAGTATGTTGAGTCCTGGCTCAACAACGCAGGGAGAAATGAAAGCCGTCCGGCTCACAAGTCCGGCTCACGCGCCCCGACTGACCGATCTACCGCACTGGCCACTTCCGCCCCCTCGCTCCCAACCCATCCACCTCGCCTCGGGCCGCGCCGCGCGATCTCGGGCGATCTCGCGCGATCTCGGGCGATCTCGGGGCCGCGCCGCGCTATCTCGGGCGATCTCGGAGCGTCGCTCGCGCGGCGTCACACCTGCTCAAAAAGGAAGGAGGTTGGAGGCAGGAGGTCACGCCCCATCCAGAGCGCCGTCGTCGCCGGGTTTTTGGCCCCCGGGTCGTCGCCCGACGGTTGCTGCGCGGGGCAGCAGACCATCGGACGGCGCGACGACGCCCCGTCCGGCACGCTCCCCCCTCCACCCGGCTATTGCCGCACGAGCGCCCTCAGCGGCGGAATTTTTCCCTCGCGCTTCCTTGGGCCCCCGGCAACGCCGACGGACTTCCCGTCCCCCCACCTGCGCCGCAATCACCGCCGTGATTGTCGGCGCTGCGCCCCTTGGCGCCTGTGCATGTCCCGCGTGCCCGCCCGCCAAGGCTGGTGCCAAGGCCAACTCAACTGCCAAGGCTGGTGCCAGGGCCAAATCAACTGCCTGGCTGGTGCCAAGGCTCAAAGGCTCTCCTCTCTCTCTGCTCGCTCCGCCCTCTCTCTCCCTCCCTCCCTCCCTCCCTCTCACCCCCTCCCCTCTTCTCTCCTCTCCCCCTCCTCCTCTCTCCTCTCTCCTCCTCTCTCCTCTCCTCTCCTCTCCTCTTCTCATCCTCTCCCCTGTCCTCCTCTCCTCTTCTCCAAGTGCATGCACGGGAGGCAGGCGCACTCCCGCAGTCTTCACACGTGCGGCGTGAGGCTGCCGCCGTGGCGCGCAAGCGCATAGCGCACCACGAAATCGATCTGCCGATGCGGCTCCTCCTCCTCGCCCTGCCTCACGCTCTCGCCCTGCGCATCGCCGTCACGGGAGCGGCAGGCTACCTCGGCGCTGAGGTCTCCCACCTTGCGTCGGCGCAGGGCCACCACGTCCGCGCTGTCGTCAAGGACGGGCAGCGCACGGCGCACCTTTCCGGGTGCAGCGAGGTGCGCACCGTCGACGATCTTTGCGATCTTGTCGAGGCGCGAGGCGTGGCGGAGGGGATGGACGCAGTTATCCACACCGCGTCCGTCTTTCGCAAGTGCGCTGACATGGAGGCGGAGCTCGTGCGTCCCAATCTTCTCCTCGCCGAGCAGATGGTTTGCGCGTGCGCCGCCTACGGCGCTAGGCTGGTGTTCTCCTCCTCGATGGCAGCTGTGCGCGGCGCGGGTCAGACGCCCCTCCGCGAGAGCTACTCGGCCGCCGACTGGAACACGGTGAGCCGTCGGGACGGGCCTGGTTTCGAGCCGTACCAGTTCTCAAAGGCCGAGTCGGAGCGGCGCGCTTGGGAGCTCACTCGGCGCCTCGGCGGTGAGATGGTGAGCCTCTGCCCGTCGATGATCTTCGGTCCGCCTCGCGGCGGCTGCAGAGGCTTCTCGGTGGACATGGTGCAGGCGTGGCTGGACGGCGAGTCGCCAGTCCAGAGCCGGCTCGCGGTCGACGTGCGGGACTGCGCACAGGCGCACGTCAACGCCGCCACCCTCCCCGCCGCCGCCGGCCAGCGGTACATCACCAGCTGCGAGGCGCGGGTGCCGGCGGCAGAGTGCCGCGACGCGCTGCGCTCCTCGCTGCTCGGGATGGGCCTAGCAGACGCGGCGGCGCGCCTCAGCGCGGACGAGGCCTTCGACGGCGGCGCGGTCCCGATCGGCGAGCGGGAGGTCCTCGCGGCGGCGGACATGGCGGAGCTGGGCGTCGCCTGCCGCCCCGCGACGGAGACGCTGAGCGACATGGTTGCGGCGCTGGTGCCGGCCGGAGATTCGGTCGATTCGCGCGACGCGCACGGCGAGACGGCTCTGATCCGGGCCGCAGAGGCGGCAGACCGGGACGAGGTGCGCCGGCTCCTCGCTGCCGGCGCTGACGCAAGGGCCGAGAGCTTGTCGGGGTGGACGGCACTGCACGGCGCTGCCGAGAGCGGAAGCGTCGCGGTGGTGTCGCTCCTCGCCGAGGCGGGTTGCGACGTGTCGGCGGTGGCGGGCTCGGGCAAGACCCCGCTTGACATCGCGCGGCAGTACGATCGAGCCGCCGCGGCGAGCGCGCTGCTGGAGCTCCGCGCGAGGGCAAACGTCTCGGGTGCTTGAAAAAACAGAGTCTGGAGAGGACGGCGCGCGCACCTTCTGCATCATCTACTGCCATGTCGTCTCTCTGTACGTGTAAGTAAGACGAAGAGGAACTCTACACGCGCGCGAAGCGCGCGAGACGTGCACGGGGCGGAGGGCTCTCGCGTCTCGCGGGGTGTGTGGGAGCCCAGCCCGCAGCGGGGGGAGAGCGGCCGGGGGGGGGGCCGAGTCCCGAGACGCGCGAGAGATCAATAATACTTACTATTATTAAATAATACAGCGCGGGGGATCGGTCCGTGGCGCACAACATACGCGCGGGTCGGTGTGACGGCGTCAAGCAGCACGCCAACCTGCCACAAACTAGAGGCGGACAGCGACGGCATCTCACCGGCACTAGAAACGCAACTTGAATCTCTCCCGCCAAGGCCACGGCTGACTTACACGTACGTCGGCACGGAGACCTCGAGGCCCTCAAACTTGAACCCCTGCGCGACCTCCGCGTCGGGCATGAGCGCCTCGCCGCTCTCGCTCCGCAGGATGGACAGGTAGCTCGCCACGCGGCCGCCCGACTCCTCCGTCTTGAGGGCGACGAGGACGTCGCGGCGGCCCGGCAGCAGCTTGAGCGCAGACACGCCTCTTGACGGGTCCGCCGCCCCGCTGCTCCCGCCGAGAGGCACCGCGGACACGTGCGCCCCGGTCGGGCCACTGCTGCGCGGCGAAAGGAGGGAGACGGGGTGGCCGCCGTCCCGCCCGCCCGGCGCGGAGTATCGCAAGAGGGTGTGGCCAGCGCGAGTCTCGTCGAGAGCCTGCTCGAGGGCGCGGTGCCTCTGTGAGAAGCGCCGCGAGAGGCGCCGCCAGCGCGCGCGGGGGGGGGGGGGGTTCTCTGAGCCTCGTCGAACGGCTCGCTCGAGAGGCGGCGCGGCGCAAAGTACCACGACCCCACCTGGCGCCGCCGACAGGGGGTGAGGCAAGCGCGACGACGGATCGCGAGCCTTGCTAGCAGAGGCGCAGCGCAGGGCCAAAGGGCGGACTCCGCTGAGTACGCGGTCGCGGGCACGAGTCCGGCGTGGGCCGTCGGGAGGCAGCTGTGGGTCGGCGGCGCAAAGGCCGCACCTCTCCGTGGCTGCCCACCCACGCGGCCGCCTCGTGCGTCGCATAGCCGACGCGGCCGCAGCCGGCGGCGCGGCAGAGCTCATCGTACACGGCGGAGAAATTGCGGAGCGAGACGACGCCGGCCGTGTCGATGGTGGCGACGAGGTCGTTACGGGTCGTCGCGCCGCTGGGCGAGTGAAACGGCCTGCGTCGTGGGGTGACTGGTCCCGAGGCTGCGCAGAGGAAGGGGCGCGAGGCGCAGAGGAAGGGGCGCGGGGCGCAGAGGAAGAAGGGGCGCGGGGCGCGAGATCCAGCCGCCTGCCGATGCCTCCGACGTAGAGCTGGCCGTGCCTCACCGCAGCCCACTCGCACTTGAAGTGGGCGGCGGCGGTCGGGCCCGCAAGGATGTGGCGCGGCCGCGCCTCCCCCTTCGAGATCTCGTAGACGATCCCTGCCCACACCGCCCTGCTCGTGACACCGCCCAGTGACACCGCCCTGCTTGTCACCACACCGCTGCGTGTGTCTCGAGGCGGCTGCGGGGGTGGGGATGCGGCGGTGGCACCTGTCCGGTCGTCGCACGAGAGCAAGCGGCCTCCAAACCAAGTGAGGGTCGACAGCTCCATCCCACGCCCCGACGCCGCGAGGTGCGACCGCAGCGGCACAGCGTCGCCCCACGTCACCTGCGCGGAGGAGAGGCGCGCTCTGGGCAGCACAGCGCGGCAAGAAGAGAAGAGGCCAGCCGCGCGCCGAAAGGCTGCCGCCGCTGTCGCGGCCATCGCAGAGAGTACCGCGCAGCAGGCTCGAGACCAGCTCCCCTACGGAGCAAGCCAATGCCGCGCTGATGCCGCACTCCCTGGGCTGCGGCTCACTCCCTAAGGCGCGCCCGACGAGTGGTTGACGGCCCGCTCGTCCTGGTCGGCGACGGCGAGGAGCGTGTAGCGTATCGCTCCCTGTCCGCAAGCCTGGGCTGCCTGGGCCGCGCTCCTAGCCGCGCCGAGGGCGCTCGCCGCATACATGGCGGCAAGAGCATCCGAGTGAGTCATCGCCGAAAGCGGCAGGCTCGGAGGCAGCGGCACCTCCCGATCCGGCCTCGCAGCGTCCTCCGGCTCCGCGCTGGATTCCAACAGAACCCGAAGCAGCGTGAAGGTGATGCAGCCACACGCGAGGAGTGGGAGGATGAGGAGCGGCGAGACTCGGCAGCCACGCCACCTCCGCTTGGTTGGCCGGAAGAGGTGCTGCTTCTCCCAGACAGGAAGCATACGCTAAGCGCCAGAGCTTGGACAAGCTGTTGTCTAGCGAAGAGATCGGCCAGTCGCTTGCACTCGTGCAGACGCGCGCGGAGGCGGGACTCCAACCAGCGCGAGGAAGGGAGTGCGTTTTCTTTCTTTTACTATTGTAGCGAAAGAAGAATTTTTCTGCCGGGAGTTCTCTCGAATTCTCCCAGGATTCCCGAAAGGAGCCTGCAATGATGGGCAGGGGGATACAGAGGGGGAGCTAGAAATGAAACGCCTTTGGCTCACCCATGGGCTGCTCTGCCAGCAAGGTTGACGAGATCTATGCCAGTCTCACACCGTCCTTGCTGCGTTGCGCTGAGGTCGATCTGTCAAAAAATGTCGGGCTTGCGGATTTCGGCACCGACATGGAGAAGTTCGAGGCTGCATGTGTTGCCACGCGGACTTCCCAATCACCCGATTTGAGCTGTCTGGAAAGGGCTTCACTGGCGGTATCGTCTCTGGCGTGATTAATATCAAAAGCGTTCGCACCAGCGTCAAGAACAAGGTGCAGGAGGCGCTCGCGTCGCTTGCTTGCGACGAGGTGAGCGCCCTCTTCTCAGGGGTGCGTCAAGTTCTGTGTGCAGGCGCTCCTGTGCGGCGGCACCTCTGTGCACATTCAGACTCTGTGCTTCGTCCGGGTGTTTATGGAGCAGTCGCCACGCGGGCTGCCAACCACAGAGGACAGCGCCGTCAAGTCGCACGTCGAGTCTCCTGCCAGGAACGGTAGCGTGGCCACGCCGCCGATGCAGACGACCGACTCAAAGCAGGGCCTCCCTACTGGCTGGATCGAGGTCTGCGTACGCTGCCCACGCTTCTCTGGCTCGCTCGTCCGCACCCGCCCCACTTGTCGCCCTCTCTAAAAGGTGCCGTGCGGCGAAGGCAACGAGGCTTCGCCCACAAAGCAGCTGTTTTACAACATGATGACGGGCGAGACGAGCTGGGTGTGCTGTCCACTCCTTGTGCGAGAGGCCGCCGCCAGTGCGTCACGCTGTTGGTCTGAGTCTAGGTATTCCCGGACGCCGGTGCAGCGGTGGCGCATCAGGCGAGCTCCAGCAGCGTGCCGCCCTCGCCGTCCATTTTTCGTGCTGTGCCCGCCTCGCCCATGCGCGGCTTTCGCTCGCCCTCGCCTTCGCCCGCAAGCTCCTACGCGCCTAGTCCTTTGCCAGCACGCAACGCCGGCGGCCGGCCAGCCCCTGCGCTGTCTCCGCCTCGCGCCTCGCGCCCGTCGGGGGCACGCTGGACTGGCCTGAGCCAGGTGAGCCAGAGCGGCCGGTATACTCTGTCCAACGCTGACTCCCCGGCGGCGGGGAGAGACGCGAAGAAACGCGTCTCTGTCACGGGCGGCTGGGTCTGAGACCATCAGATAGCACGGTACCGTAACAGTGTAGTGACAGATGCACCCTCTGATTGCGCTCGCTGCAAATCCTTGAGCGGTTCCGCTCTTCTTGAGCTGTGCGGGGGCTCTTGTTGTCTATTACATGCGAATCCCGCTCCTGATCCCCGCTCGTCCGTCGTCCCGGCTAGAGTCGCACCTCTGTCTGTTTCGTGCGGTTTCGCGCTGGGGCGCTCGTCGCGCCCCGTGTAGAGCCGTAACCACCGGCGTGGTGAGACACACGGCACTCGGATCTCAACCGAAAACCGGACGCGTCACCCGTCACCGCGTAGCGCGAGAGAACAAATACGAACACGCGGCCCGACACCCCGACCCCGACTCCTAGGGGCGTCGGCGTGCTCGGCGACCACACAGCGGCCGCTCTCCGAGATATGCCGCCAACCGCACGAACAGTACATGACGACTTGAGGCCTCAGTTGAACTCTTTTGACTCGTACTTGGCCGCCTTCTTGTCGAACAAACTAATCTTGAGGTTCGCCGCTGCCGTCTGCGCGCCCATCACGGCGGCGGCGGCGAACCAGACGGCACGCGGCACAGCGCCGACGCCCGCGAGGCCGAGATTCAGGAGTATGGAGGAGGCCAGCAGCTTGTTCGTCACCTCGCCAGACAACGCGAGGCGCGCCAGCGCCTGCTCGTTCTCGATGGAGCGCACGCGGATCTTGAGCTGCCCCTGCTCCATCGCCCGCACCGTTTGCTCGAGGTACGCAACCTTTTTCGGCTGTGTGATGGCCGTGTCGATGTCGCTGGCGCGCAGTCCGGTCGCGGTGCCAAAGACTCGCAGCTGCTTGGCGAGGGGCGTCTCGCTCGAGTCTTGCAGCGACTCGATGAAGGGCTGCGCGAACTTGGCGAGGTCGTACTCGGGGTCGAGCCCCTTGCCAATGCCGTCGACCGACGCGAAGGCGCGGAAGATGAAGGTGAATGTGGAGGGGAAGCGGAAGACCTGCTGCTCAGTCAGCGCCTGCAGGTCTGCGCCGAGCGTCGTCTTGATATTGGACGCCGCCTTGCCCTGCTGGATCTGCTTGAAGGTGCGGATGAAGTAGCGAGCGAGCTTCTCCACCGCCAGCCGGTCCGCCGACTTTGCGAGCACCTGCGCTCGCAGCAAAGCGCTCAGCCTCCCACACACGCAAGGTGGAGCCCAGCCTCCCACACACGCAAGGTGGAGCCCGCAGGCGCGTGCGCCCCCGCCAGCCTCGAGCGACATCCCGGCTGCACCTGCTCCGTCTCGGCAGACCCGTCTCGGCTAGATCTCGCCCCCATCAGCTCGAGAGCGTCCACGAGCCTCTTCGCGTTCGTTGCGAGCTGCAGCTCGGAGATGAAGGGCCCTCCTCCGAAGACGGCGCCGCACGCCTCCTTGAAGCCGCTGAAGACGTTGGGCTGAAGCTCGTTCATCATGCCGCAGTCGTAGTAGACCAGCTTGCCGTCCTCGCCCACGCACAGGTTGCCCGGGTGAGGGTCGCAGTGGAAGTAGCCTGCGCGAGAGGGACAGGGCGCTGCGCGGGCGGCCCAGCCGGAGGAAGGGAGCGGCGGGGGGGGCAGCGGCGGGGGGGGGAGCGGCGGGCGGGGTGGGCGGGGCGCGGGGTGGGCGGGGCGCGGGCCCCGCCTGTCGAGAGGACCTGGGTGAGGAAGGCGTCCGCCGTCCTCTTGGCGAGCAGCTTCGGGTCGAGGCCCGCCGCCTCGACCCTCGGCAGGTCGGTCAGCTTGAAGGAGGGCACGTACTCGAGCGTGAGCACGCGCGGCGTGGTCACCTCGTTGTAGACCTGCGGCACGCGGACGTAGTCGAGGCCCGCCTGCTGCAGCGACTCGGCGAAGCGGAGGCAGTTCGCCGCCTCGAGCCCGTAGTCGATCTCCTCGTACAGCAGCTTGGACGACTCCTCGTAGATGTCCGAGTACGACCGGTCGGCGCCGTCCGACTTCGGGTCGAACTTGTCGAGCAGCTTGACGAGCACCTGCGCGGCGTGCCGCCGACAGGTCACGGACGGGCCGAGGTCGTCGGACGTGCCCGAGCCAGGCGGGCGGGCGCCTTGAGGTTCTTCAGGTCCGTGTCGAACAGCTCGCGCAAGCCCGCCCGCTGCACCTTGACCGCCACAGGCATGCCCTTGTACACGGCGCGGTGCACCTGCCCGAGCGACGCCGCGGCAATCGGCTCCTCCTCGAACGAGTCGAAGACCTCCTCGACCGGCGCGCCGAGCTCCCTGCCCACGATCTCCATCGCCTTTGCGCCGCCAAAGCCGGGCACGTTGTCCTGCAGGTCGCGCAGCACCTGCGGGACGCGGACGCGCTCACGCGTGTCGTGGACACGTGATGGACGTGTCGCCTCGCACCTCGATGTACTCCTTCTCGAGCACGTCGGTCCGCGTCGACACAACCTGCCCGAGGGGACACGGCACGCACGCGTCATGGGCGCGTGTGCGAGGCGGGTGCCGCTCCGCGCCGCCGCCACCTGCCCGAGCTTGACGAACGTCGGCCCGAGCTTGAAGAGGGAGTCGCGGATGAACTCTGCGGCGGCCGTCTTCGCGGCAGAGGCCGCCTCCGGCCCGCCCTTGGCCTTCGAGGCCTTGAGCACCTTGAGCGCGGCCGAGGCGAGGAACGCCCAGACCTCGAGCGTCCGCTTCAGCGCCGATCCTTGCGCCTTGCTCTCCCACCCGGCCTCCATCTCGTCGCCGGTCGCCGCAAGCTCCGCCGCGGTCGCCTCGCCGCGCGAGAAGCGCAGCGTGCGACTCATCACGCCGACGAGGCTGCTCACCGTCCGACGGTACACGGACTCGTCGGTGCACACCTCGGGCTCGTCCAGGTCGCACGACTCGTCGACAATTTCCTTTGCCGCCTCGTCCAGAGTGCGGCGCAGGGTGAGGGCAGAGCCGACCGACCGCAGCGCGCCGCGGACCGCGTCCCTTTTTCTTTGGCGGCGGGCCGGTGACGCAGTTACCATCGGTGCCAGCGCCTCGGCCACGACAGATGCGGCCTTGACCGCCTCAAACTCCGCCTCGAGCGACGACACAGACTCGACGGCGAGGCGAGGCGCCGAGGACCGCGCTAGCGGAGCGGAGCGGCCGGCGACGGCGGCGCGGGGCGCCGTGTGGACAACGGTGGCAGTGGCGAGCAGCAGCATGGAGGGGAGGGTGTGGCGGAGATGCTGCGGCGGGCAATTCGGGATGCGCGGAGCAGCTAATATATGGACTCGCGTATCTTAGGATGCTCGATCGAGCATACCGAGGACAGCGAGCGTCTAAGTAGGGCACCTACTAGACGCACTCTGATCCAGAGACGCATTCGGCAAACAAAGATGGGGGGGTCGCCCCCCCAGACGTCCGGGCGCAAACTTCAGAGGGACTCTTACGAGTTAGAGAGAGATTTTTAAAGACCAACAAGAAATCACGACTCTCACGAGTTATGCCGCTCTGCGACGAAACCAATTCGTGCTATGAGTTTTCACAATCAGTTCCGGTATAGCCCCGAGCCCAAAAACCTGAGGACAAGATCTTGGTCCTCCTCGCGCACCTCTTCGACGAGCGCGACGAGGACGGCATTCCCTTGGCACGCGCGCTGACGGTTCGGGCGATGGTGCACTGCGCGCGCCCGTGGCGCCCGCCTG